GTCGGTGCTACCCAATCCTGTACTGCTGCGATCTTCTTCGGGTCGGTCCTAACGCCACTAGCGGATACGACGTGTCCTAGGAACTCGACCTCGGGGAGAAAGAACTCGCACTTCGACTGCTTCGCGTACAGCTTCTCCCTCCGCAAGACCTCGAAGACCCTTTACAAGTGCTGCACGTGCTCCTCTTTCGACTTGGAGAAGATCAAGATGTCGTCTAGGTAAACGACAACGAACGAACCTAGGAACTCGGAGAGAACGGTGTTCATAAGCGTGTGGAACGTCGCTGGCGCGTTGGTCAGTCCGAACGGAAGAACCCTAACCTCGTACAACCCCTCCTTCATACGAAACGCCGTCTTGTGCTGGTCCTCTGGAACTACGCGAATCTGATGGTAGCCTGAACGAAGGTCGATCTTGGAGAAGACTCTAACGCCATACACTGCATCTAGAAGATCCTCTACTCTCGGCACCGGGAACCTATTCTTGACGGTGGCGGCGTTCAGTGCGCGGTAATCTATGCACATCCGTAATCCTCCGTCTTTCTTGGGTGCGAAAAGGATCGGTGCGGCCCAAGGCGATCTAGATGGCTGTATGAACCCCTGTGCGAGAAAGTGCCTAACCTGCTGCGTCATCTCCTCTGTCTCTGCTGGACTCAACCTCCACTGCGGCTTCGCTACTGGCCTTCTACCTGGCTCTCACTCGATCCGATGGTCTACTGCTCGGCTGGGAGGTAACCCTGGGAGCAACTCGTCGGGGAAGACGTATGTGAACTCTGCTAACAGTGCACTCACTTCAGCAGGAAGAGTCGCCTTCTCACTAACAACCTCCTCAGCTTCAACCTCCTCAAGGAAAACCGCGAAGATCCGTGCCGCACGCTTCACTAACTGTCGCACACGAACAGCATTAATGATAGCTGTGGATGATGTGGCCCCATCGCTCCACTGTGGCAGCTCCCGGAACTCCCCGTCTACCTTGACGCTGCAGCTTCCCTGAGCCCAATCGAACTGAGTCGAAACCGTCCGCAACCAATCTCTACCGAAGATGAAGTCGTAGCCATCCAGCGTCGCAGAGTCGAAATTGCGTCTAACAGTGATCGGTCCTAGCACTACGCGCAACTTGCGAATGATCGGTCCTATGTGAAGCGGCGTCCCATCTACCATGCGAGCGTCCTTGAAGTTGACTGAGGAATCTGCTTCAAGATGGAGACGGCTAACTAATGAAGACGAAACGAATGAGTGACTGGCTCCGCTATCTACGAAAATCTTGACTGGAACTCCGCGAAGCTTCCCTATAAGCATGACTGGTCGGTCAACAAAGTCTACCTCGTTCTCCGTAGATGACTGCTGCGAGGCCGTCTCCTCTACGTTGGTAGACGTGGCGGGTACGGGAACCTCCACACCAGCTAGCGACCCGCTATCTACTGGCGGTTTCCGTTTCCCTGCTGCCGCTCCTTGAACTGTGGACAGTCCCGCTTCATGTGTCCCAACTTTTTGCAGTAGTAACAGTTCCCCCTAAACCATGTATGCTGTGAGCCGTCACTGTTAACTGCACCAATCTCCATGGGCGATGGTCCGTCCCTCGATCGAGTGTCAGTGATCGGTATGTATCCCCTATCGCGATCGTCACGACCCCGTCGGCTTCGTACTGCGCCGACGCATTCTGCTACTACGACAACTGACTCGAAGGTGGACAACCCGTGAATCGCTATAATTTCCGCAATGTCCGGCTTCAACCCCTCGAGGTAGCGATCGCGCATCTCTGCTTCCGTGATGTCGTCTATCTCGTTGCAGATGCTCAAGAACCGTCGTGTGTACTCCTGGACGTTTCCTATCTGTCGAAAACGACGCAGACGCTTCCTAGCAGCTTTGGAGGCATTCACCAAGTCGAACCTACTTTTCAACGCCACTTCAAATCCTTCCCATGTGGTCGGAACCGTGGTAACACCCAAAGCTAAACTTCCTAAGCTCGAGATTGCAGCTGCATGCCCCACGCCCTGTTGATGCCCGTCCGTCTGAGCCCTTCTAACAGCAGTCTGCGTAAGTTGGCGCCACCACTCCAAGGCCGGGCCCCTCAGCAGCATAACGACGTATTCGATCCGCTGCTGCGCGTCCGCCTCTTGCACCCCGCTCGCGGCGAAGTAGTTGTTGAGCATGAAGAGCCACGTCCGCACGTTCGCGTCGCGTTGACTTGGGTCGAACGACTCGGGTTTCTGCGGCTTGAGTGCGCTTCGACGTTCCGGCAGCGCTTCCACGCCAGTCGACGTGGTGGGTGCACGAGTTGGTGCGGCAAGGTCATGAGGGGTTAGAAGCCAAATTGCGAAGCTGTTGCATTTCAGCTCGTACCTGACGATTTTCCAACGTCAATTCTTCGAGTTGACGCATGAGCTCGGCAAGCGTGTTGCCCATGTCGTGGGGGAAAGCGTTCATGGATTCGTCCATGAAGTCTGCAAGTCGGCACCGCGGGACGATGACGTCGTAGTCTCGTCGTCGACGGTCGCTCGTTGGAAGTCGCTCCCCGCGAAGGCTCTGATACCAAGTGTTAGGCCCGCTGTCCTAAGTCCGCTAAATAATTAATTAGCGGGGTCGACTAAGTCGAGGATGAAGCGCGGCGGAAGACTTTGGCGAAAGAACTACTAGCGAAATAGGCGAAGGAGTTACTGAGTAATTGAAGAAGAGTTGAATGAGAATTGGTTGATATAAGAGAATACAAGCAAGGTTTATATAGCATGCAAGAAGGAAGGTTGGAAAGTAGAATGTGGGACTAGGAATTGGAAGGCAAACAAAGTAGAGTGCCATGTGGCTCTAGGAAATCTAAGAAGATAGGGATAAGGGTGAGCTGGAAAGTACTGTTCAAAGTGAACAGTAAATTCTCCCTTAACAACATCTGTATAATTCTGAATTATACACTTCCGCAATTCCGGATTTCTTGCTCAATTGGCATCTGACTGTACACATGGTAACCAGCTGTTTGGAAACTGAAATTCTGGGGGTTGAGTTTGGAACAGTGCGTTGCTTGTTCGAACAGGCCTGTTGAACGTCTGAGGTAACACGCCCTAACGATGGTCGTCGTTATTCTCGTGTTTCCAGTTAGGTCCGCTGTAATGGGGTAACCTCGCGAGGGTTCTCCGAATCCGTGTTTCTCGCTCAGAAATTGGGATCGAAGCATGCACCAGCACAGTCGTTGATGGTCATGTGCATTGTTTTGACTGAGGACGCGGGCACTCGGGAGGATCGGGGGAGGATCTCTTGTGTTCACCGACCCTCCAGCACTGTTCTCTGATCAATCGTAGTGTGCATATGACGATTGGACTTCTGTGATCTGCTCCCCCGTTGTGATCACGGTCGTCAATGGGGTAGTACAGTGCGGCGTAACAGTGATTTCTTGCACTTTTGTCGAACTCCCAAAATGTTTCACCTGATAGCCGAGTATACGTAGTTGCGCCCCCTTTCTTGTCGCGTGGGGTATAATGTGCTTTCGCGGATGTCTGACAATTTGTTTTCGCTGACTCGCTAGCCAGCGATCGATCTTGCTTGAGCACTGACGCCCGATCAAAAGGTTGGCGTGGATCCCTGGATGATCGGTTGCCCAAGATGAATCGATCCCTGCCCATCGCCAATCGGTGTGAGTGCCCGCCGAAAATAGCTCAGCGGACAAGCGAGTCCGCCCGGGGGAGCTCGCTGCCCGCGGGCAAAAAAAATAAACCCCAGACGGGCATGCATCCGGTCAGGGAGCCTCAACCCTAAACGCGGGGAGGCATGGTGTTTAGGGTTGAGGCTCCCTCGGATGGCATGCCATCCGATGGGGTTTTAGTTTTTTTTGCTGCCCGGGGCAGCAGGTCGACAGGTCGACACAGGCCGACAGGCCTGACGACCCAATTCCGCTGAGACCTTCCGCGTCCTGAGAGTCATTGTGCGTTGTTGAGAGTCTTAGTACGACCATCGTTCTACCTATTAGGCATTCTAGCTGACCCACTCGACCGAGCAGGAACCTCTAGGACCATAGTCGTGCCAGCAAGGCAGAGAGCAAAGAGCCATGACGATGAGGTCAGGGAGGAAAGCGATGCTAGGGGAGAAAGGGAAGACTTTAGATCGCCTTCCTGGGATGTCCGGAAGTCCTGACATCAAAGTTCGGGCATTGCACATGACACAACCCATGACTATGGCACTATGATGACGTTGACGGGGAACGAATCTGAACGCGTGAATTGACAGGCTCCCAACGAGACTTCACACGATCGCCGGGAGTCGTGCTTGCAAATTCGATTGGGCGCGAGGTCTCGCATTCTCCCAACCGTGACGGTCGCACACACGAGTGTCGGTTGGCACGTCACGGTGGGGTAAATCTGGCGCAACGTGGAAGGGAGCTGCCACGCTGGACCCACCGAGATGCACTTTTGGGACGCTTGATGTAACTCAGTGCAACCCACGGACATCCCCAAGAAGGCGACCTAGCTAACTGATTTCGACTGATTTCACGAGGTACCATCCTGTCTGGTGCAGTCGTACAGTAGTGACAGCAGCCAGAGTCTCGAGAATATATCTCCGAGTGCCTCGGCATCTTCATCGTCATTTTCTTCAAATCTACCGCCGTTGCCCTCCTGCCACCAACAATCGCTCTATGGCTTCTCACAAACAACACTCGCATTCTAAGAAACAACATTCGTTGCTTTATGAGAAACGGCCTTATCGATCATGGGATTTTCTTCTACTACCATTGCTCTTCCTCACTCTACCCGTAACGCTCTCCCGCCCCACCAACCCCGGTGAGCAAAGGGCCATGAACCACGGCCCTCCGTAGCATACTGTATCTGATGCGCCTCAAAAGAAGGCTCGTAGCGTCCCTTTGTGATACATCCTCCGCCTAGTACTACGCTCCCTCCCTTCCCCCACTCACTCCCATTTCCACTTCTCTCTCTCACCCTGCTCTCCCTCACCCTGTTCTCCCTCACCCTGCTCTCCCTCACCCTGCTCTCCCGGCCAACAAACTCGCAGCTGCTCGTATCGATGCCTGCACGGCGCTCTACAAATTGTCCGCCTACGTTTCATCACCCTTCCCTTGTCATTTCCAAATTTCCCGCACGCTCCACCTCACCCCATGTTTCCCCTGCTCTGCCGCTCCGTGCCGCCTCTTTCCCTCATCCCCCTTTCTCCCTGGTCCCCCCATCCCCCGCAGCTTCCTCACCCCATGCCTCCGCGCTCTACATCGTCCGCCTGCTGCAACGTGTCGTCTAGACTACGCCGCTAGTCTTGTTGCTGAGTCTGAGTCTGTTTGTCCTCCTCCTCCCCTTCTTTACCCCCATCTCCCATCTTCCATCTCTCATCTCCCCTCTTCTCCTTCCCTTCCCCCAATCCCCGCAGCTTTCCCCCCCGTGCCTCCGCGCTCTACATCGTCCGCCTGCGCTCCGCGCCGCCCGTTGCCTCCTACACAGGCGGAATCCCCGGCTTCCCGGCAACAGTCGTGTGGGACAGCGACCCTAACGGCAACGCTATAGATGCGACGGCGGACGATGCAGCCAACGGTGGCGATGCAGCCAATGGTGGCGATGCAGCCAACGGTGGCGATGCAGCCAACGGTGGCGATGCAGCCAACGGTGGCGATGCAGCCAACGGTGGCGATGGAGCCAACGGTGGCGATGCAGCCAACGGTGCGGACGTGGCAGCTCGCTCAAACTCCTCTATTGCAAGCAATGGTGACGTTGGCACGGCTTCTGGTACCCCTGTCACCGCTGCGGCTGCTGCCACTGCCAGCGGTGCAGGGGGGACCAGCCGTCGGCTGCGGCGGCCACGGTTGAACGTGAGGGCGCCAGGCGTGAGGGCGTTCAAGCAGCTGCTGCAGCGCATGCAGCAGGCCGTGCTGAGAGACAGCGGGGTGGACGCGGGGAAGATGCTCTATAGGTGAGGGGAAGATGCTCTGTAGGTGAGCGTGAGGGGAATGAGGGGGACTCGTACAAGTTCATCCCGTGGCCCCCACCTTCTCCCCTCGACTTTTTGAATGCCTCACAAGGCGTATCCATCACTCGTACACCCCGCCCGCACCACCACCGAGTTACCGACTCGCACAATTTCACTCGTGGCCCCGCCTTCCTTGCCCCGCCTTCCTTATGGGCCCACCCTCACTGTTCACCTTATGGGCCCACCCTCACTGTTCACCTTATGGGCCCACCCTCACTGTTCACCTTATGGGCCCACCCTCACTGTTCACCTTATGGGCCCACCCTCACTGTTCACCTTATGGGCCCACCCTCACTGTTCACCTTATGGGCCCACCCTCACTGTTCACCTTATGGGCCCACCCTCACTGTTCACCTTATGGGCCCACCCTCACTGTTCACCTTATGGGCCCACCCTCACTGTTCACCTTATGGGCCCACCCTCACTGTTCACCTTATGGGCCCACCCTCACTGTTCACCTTGTGGGCCCACCCTCACTGTTCACCTTATGGGCCCACCCTCACTGTTCACCTAATGGGCCCACCCTACGCGAAATTCTCAGCCCTCCAAACGCTTCTTCCTACTTAGCTACCCCCCTCCACCCCACCCCTCCTCTTTCCCACCAGGGCTACAGCAGCACGCTCCCTTCCGGATGGGTGGGCACGTGTCCCACTACAAGCGATTTCGCATGCAACATCAAGATCATTGGTGGGGGCATCTTCCACGCGGGGTTTGAGATCGAAGAGCGTATGAGCGTGAACCTCACCCTCGACTGGCTGTCCCTACGGGATTCTGATGGCCATGGCACGTGGTGTGCCGGTTGAGTGTAGGGAGTCAGGACCGTGTGGTGAGTGCCATGGTGCAGGGACATGCGGTGAGTGCAGGGACATGCGGTGAGTGCAGGGACATGCGGTGAGTGCAGGGACATGCGGTGAGTGCAAGGACATGCGGTGAGTGCAGGGACATGCGGTGAGTGCAGGGACATGCGGTGAGTGCAGGGACATGCGGTGAGTGCAGGGACATGCGGTGAGTGCAGGGACATGCGGTGAGTGCAGGGACATGCGGTGAGTGCAGGGACATGCGGTGAGTGCAGGGACATGCGGTGAGTGCAGGGACATGCGGTGAGTGCAGGGACATGCGGTGAGTGCAGGGACATGCGGTGAGTGCAGGGACATGCGATGAGTGCAGGGACATGCGGTGAGTGCAGGGACATGCAATGAGTGCAGGGACATGCGGTGAGTGCAGGGACATGCGGTGAGTGCAGGCATGCAGCAGAAGGGGAAGTGCCAGTGGCGATGCCATGCCATGCCATGCCATGGTCTTGCACGGCGTTGCCTGGCATGGCATGGCGTGGTGTGGCGCGGGGTGGCATGGCATGGCGTTGCTCAAAGTAGACACAAGGAAGATGAGCATATGCGTGCCACGGAAATTCCCCTCATACCCGCTCCCTCCCCTGTCCCACGCGCCCCCTCATACCCGCTCCCTCCCCTGTCCCATGCATCGCCACTCTCAGGGCGGCAGCGGGCAACAGTGGCGTGGAGGTGCCTGGCGGGGGCACCATCAGTGGCGTGGCTCCCCGGGCACGCCTGGCCATCTACAAGGTGTATTGGCACGTATATTACGAATACACAGGCACTGTAGATGCACACATCTTTGCAGCCGTTGATCAGGCTGTGGCGGACGGTGTGGATGTGCTCACCTTGTCCCTGAGTGACATGAACAGACGCATTGGCTCCAATGGCAATCGGACCTTCTTTGACGACGTGCCTTTCCTCGGCGCCCTTGCGGTGGGTGTGGCTTCGCTGGCTGGCCCAAGTGTGTTTCTGAATTCGTATGCATGCAAATGGGGGCGTAGCCATGAATCTGAAATCAGTTTCACCGCTTTGTATCCCTGCCAATGCTGTGGGTGGTGAACTCGAGTATGGACTGGTACTGAACGTACTTGCACGCATGTTTGAATGTTATTGTAAGCCCCTAGTCAGCCATTCCTCGCTTTCTTCTCTCGTTTTCTCTATGCTCATCTCTCTCATCCCTTTCTTCTCCTCTAACCTTCTGTGCCCTTCTTGCTCCCTCTCCTCCTCCTCTCTCCTCCTCCTCTCTCCTCCTCCTCTCTCCTCCTTCTCTCTCCTCCTTCTCTCTCCTCCTCTCTCTCTCCTCTCTCCTCCTCCTCTCTCCTCCTTCTCTCTCCTCCTTCTCTCTCCTCCTCCTCTCTCCTCCTTCTCTCTCCTCCTTCTCTCTCCTCCTTCTCTCTCCTCCTTCTCTCTCCTCCTTCTCTCTCCTCTTTCTCTCTCCCCTGCCTCCCTTTCAACCCCTTCCACGGAGACCCGTCCATCATCCCTCCCTCACTCCTCATTCACGCCCTTTTCTTTCCTGTCCTCCCTCTTGCCCTTTTCTTCCCCTTCCTCCCTCCCCCAGGCCGGGGTGACTGTGTCCTTTGCAGTGGGCGATGCGGGCAGGTCATATTACCGTTACCTCTACGGTTCCTTCCCTGCCATTGACAACTGTGCACCCTACTATATCAGCGTGGGGCCAGGTGAGAATGGGGAGCAGTGGCAGAGTTTAAAGGCTCACGCAGAGGTTGCAGGTCGAGGCTTTCAGGGACGGGCAATCTTGACATGCCATGCGGTGCAACGTTGCACGGCAACCTATAGCGTGACATGGCATGAGTGTGTGCGCACTCGTTGCCCTTTGCAGGCAAGGGTCAGGAGCCTGTTTTTTTTCCACGCTGCAGATTTGTGTTTCACTGTGATTCTTTGCCTTCTTCCTTGCTTCATGCGTTTCTTTCTCACACTTTCTACCATGTCTTCCATGTCCTTGCTGGTCTTCCCCCTTCTCCTGCCGATCTCATGCTTATCAATTCCGTCCATGCCCCACCATGCAGTAGGGTGCCCCAGGCCTCCCTCACTTCATTTTCAACAGCAGCAGCAGCAGCAGCAGGAGCAGCAGCAGCAGGAGCAGCAGCTGAATTTCTCGCAAACACCACAGGCTCGTCAGCATCAACACTGGTGGGAACCCGACTCCCAGCCACCGTCTCCCCTGCAGCCACCTCCCTCCCAATGGTTCCCACCTGGTCCTCCATGGGCCCTCTTGCCGCGTCCGGTTGTACGTTCTGTCACCCGTGGAAACCCCGCTCCTCCAACGTCGTTCTCAAGCCCGACATCATTGCCCCGGTATTCAACACCATTGCGGCTGCGCCTGGGAAAGCCGTCGGCGAGACGGGGTCATTTTGGGGGTTGGAGGAAACAGTCGTCGCGGCGACGCATGTCGCCGGTGTGGCTGCTCTGATCATCCAGCAGCATCCTGATTGGACGCCCGCGCAGGTCATGTCTGCCTTAATGACGACAGCTGGCATCACTGACAACAGCAACAAGGTGATTCGGAATGTGAACGGCGAGCCGGCAACGCCGTGGGAGATGGGAGCGGGGCATGTGTTTCCCACGAGGGCGCTTGACCCTGGGTTGACCTACGATGCCGGGGAGCAAGATTTTCGGAACTTTCTTGCTGGGCTGAGCAAAAAGCTGGCTCGAAAGGCGTTTGGACAGGTGCCACTGAAACCTGTTCCAGCCAGGAACCCAAATCGGCCTTATATAATGCTGGTGAACATAGTGAATAAAGTCAGTGCAAGGCGGACTGTGACGAGCGTCTCAGACACCACATCGACCTACAGGGTGACGATTAACGCCCCCAAGGCAGTGAGAGTGAGGGTGGTGCCATCGCAGTTTACTATAGCGCCGAGGCAACGCGTCCGTTTCAAGGTGAAGGTTGTGGTAAGGAAGAAGTTTAAGAAATTCAAGTATGGCAGCATCACGTGGGAAGATGACAAGGGGCATTCCGTGCGCTCGGTTCTTGTTTTCCATTGCAAACCTAAATGCGTGTACTATTGCTAGATTAGCTGTGAATGAGTGGTGTGTTGTGCAATGTACTTCTCATCCACGTTACTTGCTGTTGCGCCAGGTTTCCTTTTAGTGAGCGTATTGTACTTCTGCTAGACTATCTGATAAATGAACCATGTATTGTGCAACTCACTTTCCTCTTTGCAGGTACTTTTGTTAGGTACTTATATGCACGTATTTCCCCTGTAGACAAGTAGCATTGGGGTACCTGTAAATGAAGTGTGCAGTGTATTTGAATCACTAGCTGGTTCTCAACTTCCTGAAGGATACTTTTTTCAGAGTCAATGCTTCAGATTACATTTTCCAAGGCAGGACTACTCAACACACCTGGATTGCCTGCCCTCGTTCAATTCTGGTTATCAACTGCATAAGTCAGGAGAGATCTTATTTCTAGCTCGCACACCACTCCCTCGACGCCCTGCTCTCGGCACCATTTGATACCTCTCAGCACCACTTGATCTTCCTTCCGACCAGCTTGATCTCCTTGTCCACCAGCAGCACGGACAGTGAGAACAGCAGCACACCCACAAAGAGAGAGAGAGAGAGAGAGAGAGAGAGAGAGAGAGAGAGAGAGAGAGAGAGAGAGAGAGAGAGAGAGAGAGAGAGAGAGAGAGAGAGAGAGAGAAATGTCAGAATCAATGAGCAGGAATGGTTGCATTGAAGACATTAAAGGTGGGTACAAGTACTAACCCTAACATTGGGTTGTACCCCATATGGGCTACCCCACTATAGCCTACACAGAACTAACACATATATAGTTTGACACACCCCCATAGGCAAAGTGGGGGAGAACAAGGGGTCACAAGACCAGTCAAGAAAAGCAAGCAAGCCCAGGGTGGATCACAACGTCACCACACACACTGAGCACAAACAAAGGGCCACAAGGCCAGTTCACATGCAGAGGCATATATGCAACAACAGCAGTACAGTGATCACTACCTAGCAGGAGTAGGCATGTAGGAATATAATATAGATCACAGTTCAAGAAAAGTCAAGAGGTAAGCAAGTGAGCAAACACTGGCACCAGGCCTAAAGCTGTGCAAAAGCGCTGATGGTCACAAGGCGGAAGTGCCTTGGTGAACATATCAGCAGTGTTGGCCCGAGTGGCCACGTAAGCAACACGAAGCTGACCACGCTGCTGCAACTCTCGAGCAAGGAAGTAACGCAGAGCGATGTGCTTCGTTCTGTGCTCCAGTCTGTGCTCCTCACACAAGGTAATAGCAGCCTTGTTGTCTACGTACAGAACTGGAGGAGAACGAGGCCTCTCTCCCAAGTCGGTCAGCAGGTAGGTGAGCCAGCGTAACTCCTGAGCAGCCATGGCTGTGGCATAGATCTCAGCCTCACAACTGGAGTTGAGAACAGAAGACGAGCGAGTAGACCGCCAAGAAACAGAGCCGGAGCCAAGGCTGAACGTGTAATCCTGCGACGACCGCTGTGTAGACAGGTCATCGACCCAAGAAGCGTCGGAGTGTCCAGTGAGGACAACGTCACCCCGTCCTCCAAGCACGAGCCCCATGCCCGATGTACTGCACAAGTAGCGTAACACCCTCTTAGCAGCCTCCCAGTGCTCTCGTCGGTGTCTCTCGGGCGCAACGTAACGAGCCACGATGCTAAGAGGGTACGCAAGGTCAGGACGAGTGCAGGTCATCAGGTACATGAGGCAGCCCACAAGCTCTGGATATGGGCCACTCGGCTCTACGGACTCATCCAAAGGCAGAGCTGAGAGCGAGTGACCCGTAGCCATAGGAGTGGACTGTGGCGAGGACCAGGTGAAGTCGAAGCGCTGAAGGACCTGCTGCACCATGTGTGATTGAGTCAGGGTGATGGTGCGGCGTGCTCTGTCCCAGGTGATCTGCAAGCCAAGGTAACTGCGCAGCTCACCCAGGTCCGTGCACGTGTGTCGCTTCTGCAGCTCCGACTTCACAAGAGCGAGTGCCTCAGTGTCAACAGTGGCAAAGACCAAGTCGTCGACGTACATGAGGATGTAGAACGGCGGCAGCGAGGCGTCGGTGCGTAGAAACAGCGACGGGTCAGCAGTGGAAGGAGCAAACCCAAGAGCCGCCAGTGTCGTCCTCAGTGTGTCGTGCCACTTACGAGGCGCCTGACGGAGACCGTAGACTGGCCGCCGGAGGCTCCACTAGGTACCAGGAGGAAACGACCCAGCGAAGCCAGGTGGGCGGCGCAGCCAGATCTCCTCGTGCAGACTGCCCTGTAAGAAGGCTGTGCTGAAGTCAAGAGAGTGAAGCTCGTAGTCACGCTGAGCGGCAACGTGCAGCAGCACCCGAAGAGTGGTCATCTTCGGGGTAGGGGAGAAGGTCTGGAAGAAGTCAACTCCCTGTCACTGACTGAAGCCTCGTGCAACGTAATGAGCCTTGAAGACAGGCGGAGAACCCGGCGGCCGCTTCACCATGAAAATCCACATGCCATCGACGATGTTCGGCCCAGGAGGGGGAACCTCGTCGACGTAAGTGCCTGTGGACTTCCAGGATGCCATCTCTGCGTCCATGGCTGTCTGCCATTAAGATGAGTAGGGATCCTCAAACGCCTCTGCGTAAGAGCGCGGGGTCGGGATGTCTAGTGCATCCGGGTCTCCCTCAGGAGCAAGCAGCATGGCCACGAGATGAGGTGCAGCGGCTGCAAGACACTCAAAGTCCTCCTGTCTGTCCTCAAGGACGTCCGTGCCAAGAGCACACTCACCCCCGACGGACGGAGGACAGTCAGACTCAGACTCAGCAACAAGACTAGCAGCGTAGTCTAGACGACAGACAGCAGCAAAGTCAACAACCACAGAGACTAGGGCAGACGCAGCAGCAGACTCAAACGTCGGGTCAGTGACAACAGTGGCGAGCAGACCCGTGACAGTAGGGTGAGCAGCACAAACCAGGTCAGACTCAGGGTCCGGAACGTCAGGCAGAGAGGACGCAGGAGGAGACGGCAGGGGGACACGCTGCGGAGCAGAGGAGGGACGAAGTGCCATAGTGTGAGTACCAGGCACAGGAGGAGGACGCGGACGCGGGACTCGACGAGCACGGCGAACAGTGCGAACAGGGGAGGCAGGACGAGACGCAGGCTCACGACGCTCTGTAAGCGAGTCAGTCTGCTCAGTGTAAGGAGAAGGAGCGGGCAGTGGGGAGCCTGGCTGTAACGGGAGGCCAGTAGAAGACGGGAGGCTAAGAACCTGGCGAAGCACGGAGTCAGGTGGTGGCAGAGACGACGGTGACGGCGGAGCGAAAAACAGCCGCGGCTGTGCAGTGTCACCAGCACCAGTAGCGCCAGCGCCTCCAGCAGCTCCAGAGCCTCCAGCTCCAGCGCCTCCATCAGCTCTAGAACCGCCAGCTCCAGCGCCTCCAGCAGCTCCAGAACCTCCAGCTCCAGGGCCTCCCGCCTCAGTACCTCCAGGCGCAGTGTCAGAATGAATGAAGCAGGAATGGATGAACTAACAGAAAGTTGGGTACAAGTAGGAAACCCTAAGTTTGTGTACCCCCTAAGGTCAAACCCACTACAGCCTACACAACTTAAACATGCAATGTTTGACACACCCCCATAGGCGCAGTGGGAGACAACCAGAGGGTCACGAGACCAGTCAAAACAAAGCAAAACAAGCTCAGGGTGGATCTCAAGGATACCACACAAATTCCGAGCACAAGCAAGCGGTCACAAGACCAGTTCACATGCAGTTTGATAATATAACAAGAGATACAGTGATCACAACCTAGCAAGTGTAAACATGCAGGTATATATATATAGATCACAGTACAAGCAGAGTCAAGAAGTAAGCAAGTGAGGTCCAGTAGGCACAAGGCCTAGAAGAGTACAGAAACGCTGATGGTCACAAGGCTGAAGCACCTTGGTGAACACATCAGCAGTGTTGGCCCGAGTGGCCACGTAACGCAGACGAAGCTGACTGTGCTGTTGCAGCTCTCGAGCAAGGAAGTAGCGCAGAGCGATGTGCTTCGTTCTGTGCTCCAGTCTGTGCTCCTCACACAAGGCAATGGCTGCCTTGTTGTCAACGTACAGCACTGGAGGAGAACGAGGCCGCTCTCCCAAGTCGGTCAGCAGGTAGGTGAGCCAGCGTAGCTCCTGGGCTGCCATGGCTGTGGCGTAGATCTCAGCCTCACAACTGGAGCTGAGAACAGAAGAAGAGCGAGTAGAACGCCAAGAAACTGAACCAGAGCCAAGGCTGAAGGTGTAACCCTGAGACGACCGCTGAGTAGCCTGGTCGTCCGCCCAAGAAGCGTCTGAGTGCCCAGTGAGTACAACTCGGTCTCGCCCTCCAAGCACTAGCCCCATGCCCGACGTACTGCACAAGTAGCGCAACACCCTCTTAGCGGCATCCATGTGCTCCTTCCGGTGACGGCCAGGAGCGACATAGCGTGCAAGGATGCTAAGAGGGTATGCAAGGTCAGGTCAAGTGCAGGTCATCAAGTACATGAGGCAGCCCACAAGCTCTGGATACGGGCCACTCGGCTCTATGGACTCATCCGAAGGCTGAGCTGAGAGCGAGTGACCGGTAGGCAGAGGAGTGGGCTGAGGCGAGGAGTACGTGAAGCGGAAGCGCTGAAGGACCTGCTGCACCATGTGTGACTGAGTCAAGGTGATGGTGCGCCGTGCTCTGTCCCGGGTGATCCGCAAGCCAAGATAGCTTGTCAGTTCACCCAGGTCTGTGCACGTGTGTCTCTTCTGCAGCTCCGACTTCACGTGGGCGAGTGCCGCAGTGTCAGCAGTGGCAAATACCAAGTCGTCGACGTACACGAGGATGTAGAACGGCGGCAGCGAGGTGTCGGTGCGTAGAAACAGTGACGGGTCAGCAGTCAAAGGAGCGAACCCAAGAGCCGCAAGTGTCGTCCTCAGTGTGTCATGCCACTCACGTGGCGCCTGGCGGAGACCGTAGACCGGCCGCCAGAGGCTCCACTGGGTACCAGGAGGAAACGACCCAGTGAAGCCAGGAGGGCGGCGCAGCCAGATCTCCTCGTGCAGGCTGCCCTGCAAGAAAG